TACCTGATTAATATGTACTGGCATGTCGATATGTCTGTCCTTTCAAACCCTCAATACAAATCCAGTTTTAGAACCAGAACACGTGTACGTGCATGGCAAATCATGTTCGCGCGTGGTCGCAGTCTGCATGGCGTCTTGACCAGTCGCAAAAGCAGTAGAAAAACCGGTTGGATATCACCAGATCACCTGATCACCATGATCACCCACGTGGCACGTGCACGTACAGATCTACCCTGCTGGCCTTGCCTTGGCAGTACTGCCAGTAGTACAATGTACTACCGTACTGGCAATATATGTTGCCGCAGTGAGGCCATGAAGCGTTACATTGGCACATGTTTGCCGCACGCAGGGCGTTACATGCAAAGTCGCACAGGAGCCGTACACAGGTTTCTATATTGCCGCAGTCCTTTTTTTGCTATTGCCGCATCACTTTTTTGCTATTGCCGCATCATTTTTTTGCTATTGCCGCATCATTTTTTTGCTATTGCCGCATCATTTTTTGCAAACTGCAATGAAAAGATCGCCGCACTCCGCCGGACGTGCGTTACGAACTCAACGAAAATTTGTCGCACTAGCCTGGTCGCGCGTTACGCCGCACCCCCCTGCGTTACGCGTTACGCGGCAACATAATTATATTGCCAGTACGGTAGTACTAGCGGCTAGCGCTAGCCGCTAGGCAGATGCACTAGCGCACTGTCTAGTCTCTACTCTCTCTAGCGCAGGTATCGCACTGTACTGTGCTGTCTGTCTGGTCTGCCCCTGACGCGTGCGCGAGCGCGTACCGAGTCTGCCCACGCGCCGCCGTACATTTTTGTTTGCTCGTACGTAGTTGTATATGTGTACCGTCGACGCGTCGTACACTGTCAGTATGCACGTTTTCTTTCAAATGTCAACAACAGTTTTGCTCTCGCTTGCTGTTGCAACGTAATCATCGTCACGCTCTCAGCTAGCTCAGATCAGAGCAACAAAAACTGGCTTTGCTGTTGATGAAGGCAGACCTACCTGTAGGTGTGGAATACCGAGATGAATTCCAGGAGAAAAAAGCCGTTTGCGAATGGCCATGGAACAGATGGTAAAGTCTTTTTTTGATTTTTGGCTGCTCAACCTTCATAATTATGCGTTTGAATTTGTGTTATACCGTATACTCTCTATCAAGAGTGCACTTGATAGAGACTCTTGTCTCTATTATAAGCGCTGTGCTTATATTTTTTCAACACCCTCTACCCCGTGCTTGTATTGGAGACCGCGCTTATATTGGAGACGGTGCTTATATTTTTTTCAACCAATACATCCATACAGAGCAAGAAGAAATAATTGTATGCTAGATATCATGCATGCAGCGTTGATTTCCACTATATAAAGGCCGTGCTAATAGTGGAGACTGTGCTTATAATGTATCGAAAGATGCTCACAGTGTGCTAGTGCATGTAATGGAGACCTGTGCTTATAATAGAGAATAAAGGGTAATATTGTGGTGTGTATTCTCCTATCTAGGTTCGGATAAGCACCTTCCGTCTGTGATCGTGAAACGACTACCCCTGGATGCAGATAAGGTACGTGGTGGCCAGATCGTGAATTGCCCCCCCCCCCCCCCCCATGCCGCACATTGGGACAGGTAAATGAGTTTGGCTCATGTTCATAAGAGCAGATTTACTATCAGAAGATAGGAGATGGCCAGAGGATCAGGAACTGCAAAGAGCATAGGGGGGATGTACTGTTATGGATATTGAAATCTGATAGGATGACTGGGGCCGGCGCCCTTACATGTACTGCTTTTAGCATGCACATGCACTGTAGTTCACGTGCACACTGTAAGAATGGACCAGCAGTGCTCATGGCTGCGAGGCCAGTGCCCCGTCGCCGCTTGACTTCTCAACGGAGTTCAATGTCTGCAACAGCAGAAGCAAAAAGGCTGGCAGATTCTCAGCTTATAAACACAGTGTATCGTGGGATAAAGACACCTGGTAACTTATTAAGAGAGAGAGAGACAGACAGACAGACAGACAGACAGACAGACAGAGAGACAGAGAGAGGGAGGGAGAGAGAGAGAGAGACAGGCAGACAGACAGACAGGCAGACAGAGAGACAGAGAGAGGGAGGGAGAGAGATAGAGAGAGAGAGAGTAATGCTTGGAAAGAGGGGGGGGGGGGGGTCATCATCGAATAACTGCTAAATCAAGAGGGAGAAAAAAAGGGAAAGATACGGGTTGCCAAGAGAGGGAAAGAGAGAGAGAGAAAAAAAAAGCAATGATACAAAATATTCAAATCGAGGAAATAATACAGTACTATCGGTCGCGGAAGAACTTGGGGATCAGCCTCGTAGCCTAAACAGTTCTTATTTTCATGTACTGTAAGACCAGATATTTTAAAGTCAATTAAAGTTAACGATCTCCGGATTTTTGTGGGTTAACGAGGTGACATTCTAACGAATTCTGTTTCAAAACCGGCCAGTGACTGTACATGTACATATCGTTTAGCACATAACAATTTTAATGTTAACAATTCTTTCAAATTCGCTAACTCGTTAGAATTAAATGTTCGTTAACATTACTGGTCTTACAGTACTACAGTCTATGCACAGTTGAGCCACCGTATATACATTGGTATGCTGTGCTTGGTGAAATTCTAGGCTTGTTGTTCTTCGGCGCCCAGCAGTACTGTATGGAAAACTGTGGGAGTTGTGCGTGTGCTGCAATGTAGAGATCCTCATATCCGCTTTAAAATCTGGGCCCGAAGCAGGCATAGCCATAGGCACCTGTTCTTTACGCAATTTCTCTATGCTGCACATGAAGCAGAACCTCTCTCTATGCTGCACGTGAAGCAAAGCGTCTCAACATGATGAACCTCGCTTTTCTCTACGATGATTCATTGTTGGATATTCCTTTGCCATCATAGATTTGGTGCTGATGTATCTATCTGTTCCCAGAGTATTAACTGTGCATTTTGAACTTTTGAATAAATCCAAAGTTTCTTCACCTGGTCACCGTGCCTGCAGGCTATAACTTACAGTCTGTTAGCACGCGTTCCTGCCACTCAAGGTGAGGCTTGGTGTGAACGTTTTCGCCTGCAAGCACGGTGATCACTTATTCTCAGCTGTAGATGAAAGCACGTACTTGTTGCTCTTTGTGTGCCGAGTCTGATGATTGGCACGTTGCTCATTGTGTTTCTGCAGGCCAGCCTAATGGAATGGTTCACCCAGCGTTTAGAGAAGCCAGAAAATATCGCTGTCGTCGAGTCGAAATGTGGACGTGATAAACACGCGTACGTGCATTCAATGCTTCTTTCACAGTGCCGATGCCGAGTTGCTGTCAGGTCACTGGCATATGTTTGATGGAATTGTACTACTATTAAATGGACCATGGTTTGTATCCCAAAAGAGCGTAGGAACTCTGTCCGTGAGCTGCACCTAGTTTAGAATGTGTGTGTGTGCGCGTGCGCGCGTGTGTGTGTGTGTGTGTGTGTTCAGGGAGAGGGTGTGCACTTTGTTCCTAGAAATTATGGAACAGATCTCACTGTTGTAAGTTAGGCTATCCCTGGACGTATTTGCCTTACTGAACACTAGTATGTTGTCACTGTTGTGTGTGTGTATATATTGAAGTTGCCCTATTTTTCAGTATTCGACACCATTTTGAATACCTATGTATCTGTTCTTTTTCTTCTTGCTTGACATGTGCAGGTTTGTACGTTTCTCCACGTTGCAGAAAGCTGTCACAGCCAGTGTCCAGCTTGACAACAAAGTTTTCAGAACCTCTCCTATTCGTGTTGAGCTGACACACGAGTTTCGTGACGTTGTTCGCTATGGTACGTTGCTTGCAGCCTGGACCCAGCCTTGATTCATAGTGATGGCACATGGATTTTATTTCATCGCGTGTGGGGCAACGTAATGTCATACAGTGCACTGTCATTATCATAGCACTGCAAACACTGTGACGAACATTTGCCCGACACCGATACAATTATCTGGTCTTATTTTGGAATTCTGTTTGTTTGTGTGTGTGTGTGTGTGTGTGTGTGTGTGTGTGTGTGTGTGTGTGTGTGTGTGTGTGTGTGTGGGTGTGTGTGTGTCTTTGTGAACATGATCTATGTCTGCAGCTGAGGGTAATGCATCTCTGGAGGATCGCAAATGTTCCATCTCAGCTCGGAAGATGATGACCATGTTTCTCGGTGAGGGAGGCATGACTGTGTGCTTGCATGCATGTGTGTGCATGCGCATGCAAGTGTGTGTGTGTGTGTCTTTTTCTGCACCTTGTCCTCACCCACTTACTGAGGTGTGGTGAGCCCATAAGTGGGATCATTTTCAAGTCCACCCAGAGTTTTGGGGATTTCAGGGGGTGTTGGCCGTTGGGCGGTTCAATAGCCAGTTGAGTCATCTTTCCAAGACTCCTTTTGAGTCTCTCTCCCCTCTCCCGGGGAGACACACGTGACCAGTTTTGGCAGTGAGCAACAAGTACAAGTGTTGTGTTTACGTTCTACCTAATGTTGACTCTACATTCTCTGTGTGCCGTATTATATCCATTACAAGCGCAGTCTCTTGTTAGAAGCCCAGTCTCTATTATAAGCGCACTCCAAGATGCATGTTTGACGTCCACAGTATCACATACATACATGTTATGGCGCAAGTCTGTGATCCCCAAGATTTAAAAAGTATATACAGACTCAGTGTACCATGTACCAGGCAGTGCAAAACTGCATTCACAGTACCTACATGTAGTGGGAAATGTTGTGCTACTGGTACTTCAAAGTATCAGAAAAATACTTGTACCAGATGGTTGAAAAATTAAAGGGGAAGTGCATCGATTTTTCGAGTATGGTCCAGAAGAAAGACAATTCGATATCGGTTCGAATGGCATATCTCTCGCTTTCATACGATAAGCCAAACTTGCCAAATCGCCAATTGTATACTCACGTTGCCATAGCGACCAGCGCAGTGATGACGTACGAAAGGCTTAGCTCCACCACAGAGAAGGTCGATCACTGCAGAATTTGGTCATTTTCAATTGGTTTATTGTATTCACGAAGTGAAAGAAGGGCTGTGTTCAATGCTGTTAGTGCAGTGAACTGTTTGTTAGTAGTCCTCTCGGTTGTGTACTGGGACGTGACACCGACAGGAGAAAGCTGGAGTGCGGAGACACCAGCAAACAAGCGAAAATAGTGACGAACAAAATGCTGAAATCTTGGTTGGGACAAATCAGACGTTCAGCATTTCCCCCAACCAAGGACCATGCCGTTTGCTCTTTCCACTTCCTGAAGATGAATGAGATGCTTCCTGGCGACTCTCCTATCTCTCGTAACATCTTCTGAAGCCAGGTGAGACGACGGGTGGTGGAGATTGACGAATGAAATAATGTCGTAGGTTTGAAAGTTTGCTGAAAATGTCTCAGGAGAGATGGCGAATTCCAAGCATCTTGTCCTGGAGGAAACCATTTCCTAGGCACAGTCAGCCTAGGGAAATGCATGAGAAGGGCGATAAATAGTTCACGGCACTAACAGCATTGAACACAGCACTTCTTTCACATCGTGAATACAATAAGACAATTGAAAAATGACCAATTTATGCAGTGATCGACCTTCTCTGTGGAGGAGCTAAGCCTTTCATACGTCATCACTGCTCTGGTCGCTATGGCAACGTGAGCATACAATTGGCGATTTGGCAAGTTTGGCTTATCGTATGGAAGCGAGAGATATGCCATTCGAACCGATATCAAATTGTCTTTCTTCTGGACCCTACTCGAAAAATCGATGCACTTCCCCTTTAAAAGCCCAGTCTCTAGTAGAAACCCAGTCTCCAATATAAGCCCAGGGTCAGGACTGGTTGAAAAAGTATAAGCCCAGAGCTTATAATGGAGATAATACGGTATATCATTGAGTTCCAGAATTTATGATGTATGTACATACTATGTGCATTCTGCGTTTTCCTAAAATTGCTGAGTTTGTTTTCCCTTGTGCAGAGCAATATAACTGTGGCGAATTTGACAGTTACCAGGATATGGTCATGCATGTGGCTCAGGTGCCAGTCAATCCCATTGCCAAGTACTTCCCTCGCCGTAGCCTCTCCGTTGCTGGTCCCAAGGCCTTCAAGATGCCAGACTATCTTGCTGAGTAAGTGGTGTGAGTGCTTTGTGCCGTAGAAGAAGACCGACCAGATATTTGTAGCTTTTGAGGGACAGGCTGAGAAGCACAGCATACACAGTATGTGTGCTGTAGCACGTCTCAGCCCGGTTGGATTTGGACGTATCTCAAAAATGTCTGCAGGGATCGATTTACTTTGATTTTTTGCATAGCAGTCACTGCTACACAGTTTTACAATTGACTAGCAACTCCCAGTATTGATTAGCAGTTTTCCTTCATCAAAAGTTTACATGTATAGCTTGTACAATAGCAGGATTTCGTACAGAAGAGGACAATAGCTGCAGTTGCTATTTGCTTTTCCAAGCGAATGTTCGACCTGAATATTTACGTTAGAGTTTTCGCTTGGGCACGTTACATGTTCAGTGTCCATCCGTCTTCGAGTTCTTCACAACACAATGTCTTTCAACAGGGCAGTTCCACTGATTCCTTCGACAAAGAAACCTCAGGAAAGCGTTCAAACGATCGTGACATTTCGTGCAAAGCGTATAGAATTTCGCTTTTCTCCTTTTCTTCATCGAAACGAATCGACATTCCTGGCGCGTCCAGTTCTTTGTCCCTCTTCTGGACAGTGAATCACTGATCAGATTCACTGACATGTTGGCTACATGAGACTAAGAACCATCGACTTCAACTGTGCCTTGTCGAACAGAAACAAACTGAGCTTGACAGTGAAAGAAGAAAGGAGAACATCAGGAAAAGTCACCGCCGTGTACAAAACTTCAGAAGACTGCAGTCATGTACGACCAGTGCTAGTGCAGTGTCCAAAATCGAAAGAGCACGATCCGCGAGTCCGCGACCCGCGCGGACTGAGCAGGACAGGCCAGTTGGTTGGAGTAGTAAAATACTACTCCCTAGTCAGCAGTGTGTACAACAGTCGCATGTAGACTGCACACAACTGAACTGGTCTTTGTAGTGCATCGCAGTTTTGGGCGATAAAAAACGAAAAGCGAATCGCAGCCAGTGAATTTTGATTCGCAAACTGCGATGCGAACCCGGATAAATCGATCCCTGGTCTGGATGAAGTAGGTGTACGTTTTATCCTGGTACGTACTATCAAGACTCAAGAGTGCATAACCCCAAGAGTGTGCAACTCACTGCGCAACCTCTATGCAGTGCTGCGATGGTAGAACCTCATATCACATGACATGGCTCAATAGGTTACGTGGCAAACAGTGCAAAGTTACGCCGAAGTGAGCACAAAAGAGTTGAACCCAAAGCGGGGTGGCGTACAAGCCTGCGTCCTTCATGCACAGGGTGCCAAATAATACGAGATTGTCACGTAATGTGAAGTTCACTGTTCTGCCATTGCAGACCACATAGCTGAAGTTGCACACTCTTGGGGTTATGTACTTTTGGTACTATCAACAGTCCATAACCCCAAGAGTGTGCAACTCTGTACATGGGGATCCGCGCGGCGGAATTCCAACATTACGTCAAAAATGACGTACACATTCGTTGCGCTTGTACTACTCCCTGGTTCCAAGCACCGCGGACCGCGGAGTTTTGGCCTCTGTGCCTCAGCGGCTTGACGTAATGTTGGAATTCCGCCGCGCAGTGGGCCTACAGCAGCCAGACCCCAGTTGGACACTCTTGGGGTTATGGACTCTTGGTACTATGTGAGTTCCATCAAGAGTACATAAGCTAGAGTGAGCACCTCCCCATAGGGTTCAGGACCGCATAATCTGTCGTTTACATCATTTTGCCGTCAAGGTACATGTAATGTTGGATATTTCCTGATTGCTTACTCTAATTCGTTGTGACATGGAAAAATGTGGGCACAAGTTATGCGATCGAGCCCACCAACTAAACCAGATGTTGAACAGTCCGGCGTGCACAATCTAGCACAAAACTGACAAGGAGTACTGAGACATTCCATGGCATGAAAGTCACTTTGGAATTAGCACCAGTATCCAGAAACCTTCCAAATTGGAAGGCCGTTGGGTAACGCTATCGAGGAATGCTCAAGCTGACTTTCATGCCGTGGAATTTTTCTCAGTATTCCTTGTCAGTTTTTGTGCTAGATTGTGCACGTCTGACTGTTAAAAATCTGGTTTAGTTGGTGGACTCGATCGCATAACTTGTGCCCACATTTTCCATGTTATGATTTTTTTTCCTTGGCTCACCATCTGAGTTCCTAATTTGTTGTATCTGTAATCGTGTTATTGTTATTTTTCTTGTGATTCTATCCTGTTCATGCAGTGTGCCTGAGTCGGTATTGACAGATTCACGAATTGCACCAACTTCTCCTTTCAAACACCCAAGGCGAAATGGCCCAACAGCGAAGGTACCAATGTCTTCTCCTATAGCGCAACGTGATGCCTCTGAGACTTCCTGGGTCCCTCCAGCAATGAGAGGAAGGGACTCACTCTGATGGGTGCTGTGTGTTGGGTGCTAGTCATAATTATCAATCTGTCTATGGTCAGTACACGCACACGGGCAATGTTGGTTGTCGTTGAGTGGAGCCGTGTGCGAGTGTGGCAACTGCCATTTCTTAGCTGCCACTCCTCCAGTCCGTCCGTAGTGGCTGTGGACGGTTCTCGCAGCTATACCCCAAGTCCCGTGGACTTCTCGACATGCGTTGGCGTCATTAGTCAGCTACTGTAGTACTGGCTACTGGGTCCACGTCGACTGTGGAAGGGCCAGTTGTTGAGATCCCTGTCGAAGGTGGTGATTGCCAGGCTTGACGCTCAATGATAGCCTTGAGATTGAGAGTTGGTATGCACAGCAATTGTGTGGACAGTTGACTGACTTTGAAGCTAAAAAACAAATCATTTGCTGGTATCTGTAACGAGCGAGCATCTTTGTGTTACTACTTTGGCTGCAGGTATAATCAAAGAGATAAAAAAACAATAGCATGGGGTTTGCACATGAAAGACGAATGCTGTGCATTTTTTTAAATATATAAAGCAACTCACATTATGCATCTATTTATTTTTATGCTTTAGGTACTTAGGTATTTTATCCGCGAAAGTTAGGTCGTGGCATTTTACTTTTACATTCAAGATAGCTGCCAGTGAGAGAACGACAGGTGCGTGTCATGCCGCTGTGTGCTATGCTGCCGGCAGATAACTGCAATGGGAGTGCTTATTTCTGTTTTTCTTACCACATGCTTTTTTTCGCTACATGTAGCTGTTCTTCTTTTGTGTTGATTTTTATTGGGAGCTTTTGTTTCCTCGTCGTCTTTTTGGTGGGCTTGCAAGTGTAGCCCCTTCCACTGGTTATTCGGTTGGAATTGTTTGCTTCCGCCTTCTATTGCATGTTACTGCTGCTACTTCTGCTGCTTCGTCTCCCCTTTTTGACCGGACTATTTTCGAGACCATCTTTGCGTATCTGCTTCTGGATTATTGGTTTATTTCTCCCCTGCCTTATTTTATGATGACACACCTGACCTGATTATCTCATCATCTGTCTTATCCAAACAATGATATGACTTCGCATGCTCATGAGTCGTGTTGTTTGAATGAGTTTTTTTGACATGTGCAACTTCAACTCACTTTCATCTTCTATCACTATAGAGTCAACTTCGCTAATAACGACTGCAGATATAACGACAATTCGCGAATAACGACAGAATGTCCATGCCCAGAGCAAAGTCCCATCTAACTGTAATACTTCACTAGTTTGAGGGAAAGAGACTGTAACTGTAATACATGTCCATATAACGAGATATAAGGACACTTTTCTGATGCCCCGCTGTGTGTCGTTATAAACGAAGTTGACTGTATAGTATAGGGCCTAGTAGTAGTAGGGGTGTGGTATATATGGTACAGTAAAGCCTGGACACCACGCTCCATCATCATGCACACCAGTCCCCCTGTTGCTTTGTGAGAAAAGTGGAATTCCGGTCAATGCACAGAATTTGACTTGTAAGTAACATAGTTGTATGACTGTCACGTGGTCTGCCCCATACACTTTCCAAGTGGTGAAAGCTTTCATGTTCTTTTCTAGAACAAGAAACTGGCTTCCCACGTTGTTTGAGTTTAGTGGCTTCTGGAATGTCATGTAATGCATATCTCCATGTAGTCCAGGAATACAGTGCTGTACAATGTCATACCAGGGAGTCGGTATTTGATGACTCGCTGGTCTGGACCAACTATGGCTGGCAGTGCAGCTACAGGGCCGGAGAGGTCCGGCAGGCTATCGGCTCTGCAGCGCACCTACTGTCGTGACGGTGACCTAAGCTAGATACGGCGGCGCGGCGCGGTACGATATCGATAGGCGCTAGGCGATGGCATATTGCCATCACGTGAGCTAGGCCACGTGTCGTCCTCATGCAGGTCGCTCAGTTTGAAATCTTCCTTTCAAGACAGACAAAATAAAAGGGACGATAATCGGAATAAACCTTTTTGATTTGGCTTGCTTTCCATCCGGATATCCATCCGTCGAGCTTAGTGGGTTCGAAGTCTCTCTCTCTCTCAGTCTTCCCACACGCTCTTGGTTCTCAGGTCTTGCACGAATATCTATTGCGGTTCGTTCCATTGCCGGCCTATCGATAATGATTGTCTCCAGTTATGAACTAGCTGGGCATCCAGGTGAGTTGCAAATAACAAACTCATTACGACTACCTCGCAGTTGCTGTGCTCTGTAGGTCAATTTGACCCAGTCAATCGATATCAAATAATGCTGATAGAACACTAATTGATTGAAACGCGATGCAATCGAAAGCCCAAAAGAAATTGGCTCGCTGCATGCACTTCGTGACAGCATATTGTTCCTAATTAATTTTGGACGAAATTTGGCTGTCCCTTTCTCCGTGTCTGTAGACGCAGAATGGCTGAAGTCAGTTGAAGCGTCCTGCGTTTGGGGCGACCTTTGCATACACACCACTCAGGGTGTCGATGTGCAGTGCGTGGAGCCACTGTTGCGATCTTGTCAATGCAGGTACATACTATATATTTATATACGTGAAGAATAGTACATTGAGTACGTCTGTTTAGCTTGCCTTTTGTAGAATATACTGCAATGTGTTGTTATAAGATTATGCATTTTTGTTCCTTATGAAACTTTTCATAATCATCGAGAATTGAGCCCGCAACATCATAATTGAAAATCAAGTGTGCATACCACTGCACGACATGGAGCGTGCACAAACACACATAGCCGCTTTTTTCCCTCTGTGTGTGTGGGGGGGGGGGGTCTCTCTCTCTCTCTCTTTCTCTCTTGCACACACACACACACACACACACACACACACACACACACACACACACACACACACACACACACACACCTCAGACCTCAGACATGCCCATTGCGGGAGCGATGATAGCGAACAGCTATGTTAGACATAGCAACTTGTGCTGGGATTACACCATTCAACAGCTTGCAAGGCTGATGAATTGACCGCCACTATTTTTAGCCTGGTATCCACCACACAGCTGTTTGAAGTGACTTTTTCTGGCCAGTGAATCCCTATTTTTCATTTTTCCATTTTTTTCTTCTTTTTCTACACACACACCACACCACATACTCCGGCATACACTGGCTGTTGGTAACCACCCAGGAGAATGAAAGAAAAGTCAGGAAGAGTCTGAGAAAGAGAAGAAACACACACCTCAGACCTCAGACATGCCCATCGCGGAAGCGATGATAGCGAACAGCTATGTTAGACATAGCAACTTGTGCTGGGATTACACCATTCAACAGCTTGCAAGGCTGATGAATTGACCGCCACTATTTTTAGCCTGGTATCCACCACACAGCTGTTTTAAGTGACTTTTTCTGGCCAGTGAATCTCTATTTTTCATATTTTCCATTTTTTTCATTTTTACACACACACACACACTCATACACACACTCACTCTCTCTCTCTCTCTCTCTCTCTCTCTCTCTCTCTCTCTCTCTCTCTCTCTCTCTCTCTCTCTCTCTCTCTCTCTCTCTCTCTCTCTCTCTCTCTCTCTCTCTCTCTCTCTCTCTCTCTCTCTCTCTCTCTCTCTCTCTCTCTCTCTCTCTCTCTCTCTCTCTCTCTCTCTCTCTCTCTCTTGCACACACACACACACACACACACACACACACACACACACACACACACACACACACACACACACACACACACACACACACACCTCAGACCTCAGACATGCCCATCGCGGAAGCGATGATAGCGAACAGCTATGTTAGACATAGCAACTTGTGCTGGGATTACACCATTCAACAGCTTGCAAGGCTGATGAATTGACCGCCACTATTTTTAGCCTGGTATCCACCACACAGCTGTTTTAAGTGACTTTTTCTGGCCAGTGAATCTCTATTTTTCATATTTTCCATTTTTTTCATTTTTTTCTTTTTTCTTTTTTTCTACACACACACCACACCACATACTCCGGCATACACTGGCTGTTGGTAACCACCCAGGAGAATGAAAGAAAAGTCAGGAAGAGTCCGAGAAAGAGAAGAAAGACGTGTGCGAACACACACACACACACACACACACACACACACACACACACACACACACACCTATACGCACAAGACAACATGTCACAAGACACTCAAATCCCCAACTCCGCAAGATATGAAATTTTAGATAAAGCAAAATACGTTACATGGTGGAGCGACCACACACTCGCTGATTCTTGACCGGCATTTGGCTTGCTCCAGAATTGTGGAGTTGGAGATTGGCTCTTACCATTGGGTCACTTTTGGTACATCCAGTACAAAAAAATGAGCAGCGATTGCGAGATGCCAAGTCGGCGAACATGCACGGTCTTATTTGGCCATGTCTCGCAGCTAACTTACAAAGCGGTGTCCACAAGACGACAGGCGAATACACACACCTTGGTCTTGACAGGGAGGTCAAAGTTCGCAAAGACGGAAGAGTGCAATGTGCCAAGTTGATGGGAAACTTTTTGCGAAATGAGCAGAGTGTCCATGCACACAGCGACATCCAGTACAACTCGCGTCAGAACATGTCCCGTGTGTTCCCCTGAATTCCCAAAGAAAAGGAACACTTACAGCTGCAACAACTTCGAGGAGAGAGCTGTTCGTTCGGCTCTCTCTTGATATTTGTACTTTGTACTGTTGAGGCAATGGACTGAAATAAAAAATAATAAAAACGAAACGAGCTGTGATTTCTCCGAGCGCGTTCGTGTCGGCTCCGTTTTGTTTTGCATCGGTGGACTGCGCGATTGTGTTTTTACATCTGTGTTGAAATATCCTGCACCAAGAGTAAATAGTGTCCCAAGAGTGTGCGACTACCAGTATGTGTATGGGTCTCCCACGATGAAGACTCATGTCACTTGTTCAAAGTATGTTTTGTACTACGTACAACAAAGGCGTCGGGGACGGTGCAAACGGTGCGGTTGGTCAGGCCAGGGTCCCACCAAGGTTTTGGCTACCAGCTTTACCTATTTACAGCTGAGGTCAGGTGTACTCGCTATATCACACTCGTATACATAGTATGAATGGCCAGGATATGGCCGGACCAATCAAACACTGCCTCCGCCGATCCTGGGCTAGCGTGCCCGCAGTCCACATATCTGCCTTGATCATGACAATTCGGATGGCTTTATTCTTTTTCATTGATTGGTGTAGCCCAGAGACCGTTTGGAGAGTGTTGCGACTTGCGAGTGCCTGAATGTATGGTTGTAATGGATGGTGGAGTCTGCGCACATTGAGAAATGATCGTGCTGATGACTGCCGTACGCTGAGTGGGTTTCTGTCAGGGAGTGCTATTTTTACTACTCCACAGCGCGTTAAAAACGGGCTGGGAACCAGGGAGTCGTAAAATACCATATTTTACGACTCCCTGCTGGGAACCTACAGTGTGAAGACTACCGTACACCACATGATGAATTTTCGCCGTCGGTGGACCCTATGGAACAGGCATCCGGAGTTGCACACTCTTGGGAGCTTTTTCTACTCTTGCCGGTATTTCGAGCTCAAGATTGAGAGCGTCCAGTTGTGCTGTTGTGTGCATGAGCTCCCATAGCTCAGTCGGTTAGAGCGTCGTGCTAATAACGCGAATGTCGCAGGTTCGAGCCCTGCTGGGAGCACGCTCTTTTTATTTTTTTTGAGGCGACCAACATTTTTCAAAACAGCTACAAGCCTACAACTGACTTTGTACCTGTCAGTGTGTATCCGGTACTTTTCCCGTCACATTCTTTATTTATTTATTTTTATTTATTTATTGCAGCATCTCATAGCACAGTGAGAACACCGGCCAATACAAAGAGAGAGGGTGTTAGCCAACCACGGCAAGGAAGGGAGAAGGGGAGGAGAAGAAAAAAGGAACCGGCATGGATAAGTAGTGATTGCAACAAAATGAGAAACGCAAAATCAAAGTCAAGGCGCGACAAGGCTCTTAAAAAGGCGGAGGGAAGAAAGGTCCTTAGCTTCTTGGGGAAGTGCCAGCCACGCAGAGTACGCAGTGAAAAGGGGAGAGTGAAGTAGAAAGGAGGACTTGGGTTTCGGAAGGGAAAGGGAGTTTCTCGTGCTACGGGAAGAAAACCAGTTGAAACAGTGGAGGTGAGGTGGACACAGATTGAGTTTGAGAGAATGGATAAGGGTGACAAGATGTGACTTACGTCTCTTAGACAAAGGGGTAGTGTGAGCAAGGGCATAAAGGGTGGAAGATGGGAGCATGCGGGGTTTCCGGAGGAGGATTTTTAGAACTTTTTTGTGCTGAATTTCGAGCTTTTCAGCACGGGTTGTGGAAATTCCAGCCCAAGCAGTATCTGCATAATCAAAAATGGGGCGTATGTAAGCTGAGTAAAAGAGGAGTTTACAAGAGATTGGGAGATGGTAACAGTGAGAAGAGAGGATTCCTAAAGATGAACTTGATCGTTTACATATGTAATCGATGTGGGGGTCCCATGAAAGATTAGAGTCAATGAAAATGCCAAGATGCTTATGGCTGGAGACTATGTCTATAGGCTGGGGGAAAGTGGGATGGAGGAGGGGCGGAACATCAGGCTGAGAAGGAAAGAGCATGATTTTAGTTTTAGACAGATTGGGCGATAACCGCCAAGACGACATCCAGGAAATTACTCTTTGAATCCCGTTAGCTAGGTTACTCATCAGGCCAGTGATGTTAGGAGATGCCCGTAGGAGCGTTGTGTCGTCTGCGAATAGTGATGTGCCCGGGGCAGCTGCGGGCAGATCATTGACGTATAAGATAAAAAGAAGGGGGCCGAGGATGGAACCCTGGGGAACTCCGGATAGTACTGTTGTGTCGGCTGAGGACGTCCCATGTACCGTGACGTACTGCGTTCGCCCAGTTAGGTAAGATGTCAGCCATAGCAGGGGATTGCCGTCTACAGTAAACGATCCACGAAGCTTGGCCAAGAGCCCCCGGTGCCAGACGGTATCGAAGGCCTTGGCAAGATCGAAAAAACAGATCCCGACTAGGTCTCCAGCATCCCGATGTCGACACACTAATTGCACCAGGCGCGTCAGCTGGAGGGTGGTAGAATCGCCTCTGCGAAATCCGGACTGAGCTGAACTCAAACGTGACGAGACATGACAGTACAATTGGTCGTAGAAAACGCGCTCACAGAGTTTGGAAACACAGGACAGTAAAGATATCGGACGGTAGTTTGATGCTTCGTGGCGGGACCCTTTCTTGTAGATCGGTATAACATTAGCTGTTTTCCATGCAGAGGGAAAACGACCAGTGCGGAATGATAGGTTGAAAATCAGACATAAGGGGTATGCTATTGAGGGCGCAAGGGACTTTAATACCAGATTAGTGATGCCGTCTGGGCCTGGCGCCTTGTCAAACGGGAGCTTTCGAATGTAACGTCGGATGGCAGCAGTCGTAGTAAAGACAGATGTGAGGCGGTCAGCCTCACCCGACTCCTCGGCAATGGGGGGAATGGGTAGAGAAGGGTCATCAGGCACGGCCACTGAGGCGAACTGAGAGTTCAATGCAGTGGCTTTAGCTGAAGAGGTAGTAGCCTGCTGTGTAGAACTAATGGTGAGTGTCGGGATGTCACGAGATACTTTATGATTTTTTAATTTGCTCACGAACTGAAACAGTGATGGGCGGTTTTTGTCCTGCAGCGTAGCTTGTACGGACCGAATGTATCCCCGGTATTTCGATCGAGTCAGACTCTTCACCAAGTTCCGTTGAGATCGATATACATGCATGTTAAGCTGGGTTGGGTATTTCTTACACACACTGTAGAAATCGTGCTTTGCCTTAATGGCGGCGCGGAGGGGGGCATCAACCCAAGGTGGCTGACCTAAACGTCGGCATGAGGGGGAGAGTGGACGCCGGGAGAAGTACCCGAGGTGCTTCTCCATGGCCCTGCTAAGAATAGAGTGGAAAGACGAAAGAGCGTCATCCACGTGCGAGCTGCGGAGGTGACATTTCCAGTGGACATCAGCAAGTTCAGCATTCAGGTCATCCCATACGCAACGTGGCACCAACTTGAAATTATAACCTGGGGGTGTAGGGGTAGATTTGGGAGGAAGTGATGTTGTAGGGTTGGATTTTTGGACGTGACAGGGAGACGGACTCGACAGATGAGCTGCACGTGGTCAGAGCTACCCAGTGGAGCGGCTGAATCAACGGAGAGGAACTGCTGGGGTGAATTTGTGACGATGAGGTCCAAGCAAGATGACCGGCCACTTGGGCTCCAGTGCGTAGGGAAGTTGACCAGTTGCTCTAATCCGAAGCACCTGAAGGCGGTTTCAAGGCACTGACCCACCGGGGTTGTCCGATCACCAGCCAACCAGCTCGAGTTATGGGCATTGAAGTCACCGGTGAGGAGTAGTGTGGATACAGGTAGATCAAGCGACAGAAGGCAGTCTTCCAGACCATCAGAATATGCCTGGATATCCGCCAGGGTACCACCAGGAAGTCGGTAGGTGGCGCAGACTACGAGTGGACGTTGGGGTGAGTTGGCTGTGCGAAGCTCAAGCCAGATGGCCTCCAAGCCCGGTTGCTGAAGATTCGCCAGAGGCTTCACCGATGTAAAGGAGCCATCTTTCACCAATATGGCTACCCCACCATAACCTCTGGTAGGATTGGCCGATCGAATATTAGAGGTGGGACGATCCCGTCGATGAACTGTGTAGCCTGCCAATGAGAAGAGGTTGGCAGGGGACAACCATGTTTCACACAAACATATAACCTCCGGAGAGTAGATGTTGCACATAACAGTGAGTTCCGCTACTTTGTTGACCACTGAGCGGCAGTTGAGGGAAAGGATGGTAAGGGCAGTATGGATGGGAGGATAAAAGGGACGGGCCAGTGGATTCAGTGTTCCAGTAGTGTTGGGGAAGACAAGGTTACTATTCATTGTGAGAGATATTGTCCGGTGGGCTGGTCAGAATAGAAACGCCATTCCCTCACGGTATGACCCATTGTGTTTGGCCAGAAGGTGTGCCGGCATACAGTATCGGCATCCTTACCCTCGACAGTCACTCTGGCGGAGGCAGTTCGAAAATACTCGGAGGAGTATATTAAGCACTGCACTATTTCAACACCGCGTTCCCTGCACCAGTCTGCTATACTCGCTGCCTCACAACCAAACGGAATATCTCCCAAGTAGAAGACCCTTCGCGGACTGCGGGGTGCAGCATCCAGAGACGGAACTGAACCAGGGACATTCTGGTTTGGTTTGGCGTAACGTGATGATACCTGGCGACGGATGGGATTTCTTTTTGGTGCTTCTTCCTTTGCCTGTTTGTTTGCAGGTAGTCCAACCTCTTCTATTTCAGTAGGGTGAGGTTTGATCCGTGTCATCCTCCTGGCTTGACGGCGCTGATTCCTTGACACGACAGGCTGAAAGGATACGTCGTCCTTATCGGCAGTACTGGCACTACTAGAAGTTTCAGCCATGAGCCCATTTGCTAGAACTTGGGCGTATGGTCTAGGAACGTCTGGTGTCTTGGCTAGCTGTCCATTCTCTTTTACTGTTGATGCTTTGTCGCTTTGGAGGGATGACGTATGTGAGCATTGAGCTGCTCCAGCCAGATCCATGGTCTTCTGAGTTCTGCAAGGCCGGACTAACACACCACAGCCAACAACGTTCTCCAACTGGTTCACCTTTTCCCGTGTGGATAGTAAATCATTTCGCAAGCTCGTTAGCTCTGCATCTCTGGTTGCTGAAACTGCAGCAAGTTCACGTGTTAGACTGGCGATGCAATCCTGAAGTTTCTCAAGGCAAGGCACCATTGATGGCAGGCACTTCTCACCACAGGCAGGGAATTGGCTGGGCGCCGAACCTGGGGGATAAGTGCCAATACCATTTTCGCGCAGAGTAGCAACCAAGTCTGGGCGTGCTAGGTCACACGAATTAGGTATGTCCTTCTGCTCAGCTAGTTTCTGAAGCTGCGAAAACTCCAGGATCGCCAGGTCAATATTGGGATCTAGCGCCATCACGTGACTGACTCTGAACACCACTCCAGCAGGAAGTGTTCGGGCGTTGGCTAGCGTTGGCTAGTGCCAGCAACGCCTTCACGCCTGGGACCGACCTCGGTAGCGCAGGAGGAAGAAGACACAGCAAGACGAAGCAAACAATGGCCACCGAAAAGCCAAGCCAGCCTCTTTCACGCTGCAATATCGAGGGAAGGAAATAATCCACAGCAATGGCGTGTCCACAATTTATAAAAAGTAAAATTACAAGCGGCATAGAAGCAAGACTGGTACAATGCAAACGCAAGAGTAAGAGCAAGAATGAATTTCATGATGGAGAGCGAGAAAAATGATGAATTTCATTATAAGAACATTCATAAGGTTGAGGGAGTAGAACAAAGAAGAAATACGAAGAGCGTGTTTGTACGGCTACTATGCGCACGCAGCAGACATTCACAACAGCAGATGAGTGCATTTAGCAGCCACCACCAGTTCGGTTGATGAGGGTTGTGCAACTCCAACTCCGTCTCGGGACTTGTGTCCTCGGAGAGACGCGATCGCTGAGCGGATAAGCGCAAACCTCAACCTGCATCTGATCCATGTCATGGTAATGGAGTATGGCTCATTCCTATTCTCGCTGAGCATCAATCCAAGTCGCTTGTAAAAAGCAGTTGCCACCTTGCCCTGGCCTCAGGTAGCGCTGAAAACGAGGGGAACGAAGGTGGCATGCTTCTCGAACTGCCGACGCTTCTTACACTCGTGTTTTGCGTACGAAGCAGGGATAGAGTGGACCGAGTTTGAGCGAGCATGATGGCTTAACACCCGGATATCAAAGAAAGTTCGCTCAAACCGGCCACCCACTCGCAACGACTCCCAGCCTTGCACTATCCCCTTGTACACCGCTGTAGCATGACGCTGCTCTGTCTTCCTGGCATCTGCCCTGGCTTCAGCTTTGGCCTCCCTGGTGTCGTCCGCTGGACCCTGCATCAGCGTATCCTGGCTCAAGATGCGCTGAACGAAGTTGATGATCAGGGAGGAAGAGAACTGAGTCGTCACCAGTGATGCTTGGGAGACAATCCCCATTAGGGAGTCGTAAAATACCGGTATTTTACGACTCCCTGATCCCCATGCTTCCGTAGCAGCATGGGAGCACGACGACTTGGTGTTCCGTTGCTCCAGGCTGAGGACGACCAAGAAGAGCAGGAATGAAGGACTCGGAGAGGGTGGACTCCAGCTGCTCGAGGTGCGGGGCAGTGAGTGAGGTCCGGTGCTTTGAGTTTCGAAGTTGTCAGTGTCCACTTGGACATTTGTGTGCATGAGCTCCCATAGCTCAGTCGGTTAGAGCGTCGTGCTAATAACGCGAATGTCGCAGGTTCGAGCCCTGCTGGGAGCACGCTCTTTTTTTCTTTTGAGGAGACCTAACAAAGTCGAGACAGCTAGCCGTCCGGAGATTGTCATAGAACTAGATACCTGTATCATGTGCTTTACCTCTGTTGCTCTGTTGCCATGGATGCTGCTATACTGATAGTACTGCTATGATCACGTGATCTACTTATTTCTTCTGGTTT